TACAGCTAGACATTTTGGTCAAGGAGATAGAACGTCCCACTAGGATATGTCTACTGGTGAGAATATGTTTCCATGTTTCAACTTGACAAATCTTTTCTTCATCTGTTAGGTTCGAGGGATCCACGAAGGGATGTTGTAGTCTAGAAGATGAGAATCGACATGATTGAAATGGCATGAACAGTAGGGGTTCTCTGTCAGATGGAAGGTTGAAGAGTGTAGTAAGGCATTCAGAGAAGCTAAGTTTGGGCATGTCAACAAAGGTTAAACATTCTACATAAGCGTAATGTTTGGGGATCATAGTGTTTGGTTTGGGAGGTTGTATTTCAAGAAAATAGGCATACAACCATGCTTGGAAAAGCCAGAATGGCAAACCACAATTGGCAGACATTTTCTTATCAACAAGGGAAGACATGCCTTTGTAAAGTGTGGCGAGCAAGTTAGCACTTTCTTCATCAGTGACAGGAGTACCCTGTGTGCCTTTATATTTTTTGGTAAAGTCAGTGTAACTCATGTCAGTCTCAAGGGTGAAGGGTACTTTTATGGGCTCTAGCAAGGCACTAATTTCTAGCCCTAGAATGGGAAGTCCAATGAGGTGGGCTACATCAAGGACAGTTGGTGATATCATTCCAAATCTTGAAAGCATGGAATTACAGGATGTGGACAAGAAGCATGCAGCAACGGCTATTAACCATTTATTCATATTGAATATGAGGGTCAACAGATGGATTTCCTCAGTGATGCCAAGATGTTTTCCAAACATTGGAGTCATGACCTCCAATTCGTTTGACCTAGCTCTACCAAGTGGAGTCTAGTTGCCTTCATGATCGAAGGGGATTTTTGCTACTCTCCCAATTGGTCCAGTTCGGTCTGGGTTGGTTGATAAGCAAGGTTTCACCATTGGCAAGTGGGTAGTATGGAGCCAATTCGTCGGGGAAGTGTTGTTTGAAGGTAGGGCCTAGTGTTGCTTTGGCCACAGTGCTGTTGCTTGGCATCAAAATGCAGTCAAGTTTCAATGAGTTCGTAAGGTCTCTGATGCGTTTGGAAAATCGAAGTTGGTCGTCATTGGTTTCATCTTCTTTGGTTTAAGATTTTTGAAAACTCATTTTAAAACTCAAAATCCAAAACCCTAAACTCTAAGGCCATCTCTAACGTTGCACCAAATCCATCATCAAATTCAAATTTGGTGAAAAAGTACCTTTTTTTTTTTGCTCCAATGGCTTCACAAACCTGTATCAAATTGAGAAAATAACAAATATTTCACCAAACTGAGGATGATTTGTATATTTCATCAAATCATTATTCATAGCCGTTGTATTTTCACCATCGGATGTCCCCTGGATGACCAAGTCAAGGCATATTTTACACAGGATGGTTGACCTCCCCGATGACCCCATGAGAATGAAAATTTTATTTGAACCCATACAGACACCGGAATTAAAAAGCTCTAACTCCATTACCTTTTTCCTTGCAATCTCACCTACCACAGATTATAGAATTCCTCATCCTGACATCATGACTAGGCATAGAAGAGAATTCCATCAAGGCAGAATTCATGTTTCCACATCTAGCATATATAGCAACAATTGCATTTCAAACTGCATTAAAAGAATTAAAACCCATCTTAATGATTTGTGCATGAGTCTGTTTGCCAAGATTCAAGGTCGGCAAGCTTGAACATATTGTCAGCACGCTAGTAAATATAGCTTCATCCATAGGAAAACTTAATTCTTTTAGTCTCATGAACAATTTGAAGCCATTCTCGCCATGATCTTTTTCACCTAATCCAATATTGTAGCATTCCACAAATTTGTATCCCAAATAGGCATCAACTAAAAAAGTTTAATTGCAGTTTGAACCTCATCAATATGAAAATACCCAATAATCATATTTGCCATGGACATAACATCACCAAATGGATTTTTCTCAAGAACTGCATGAGCTTCTTTCACAAGCCCATTCTTCACAATTTGTGCTATATTATCCTTTATAAATGTCATTTTATGAGCATTTATTTATTTTTATATTTATATATATATATATATATATATATTGGTCAAATGATAAGTGAAACCTTCATAAATCCATTGCATCTTTGCTATCAGGTGATGATGAATTCTGAGATGCCACTTCCCACAAGATAATACATCGTCACAGAGCAATTTTAGAACTTTGTTTTGTCCTTCTTCTTCTTGATGATTATTGGAGAATTGTGGAGATTCTGCACAAGAGGTTTCTGGGTTTTTTTTTTTTTTGGATCTTTTTGATATGTTTTTGTCATGTATTTCACTGTTATTGTGTTTGGTCTTGTGGATCAAATTGGGTAAATTTGATAGAAAGAACTAGAGATCTTCATACAATGCTTTAATTTTCATTTGCTCTTACGGGTCGACCGACTGGACAACCTGTGTTTTGATGACAGCTATAAATTCACTGTTTACGTGATTGATATCAAATAGAGGAATTCATTTTTTTTTTATTCAAATTTGATGAAATATTTGGTGAACCGTTGGAGATGCCCTAAGAAATTTCAATGGAGATTTCTAATAATAAATAAGAATCCTAAACCCTAAGAAATTTCAATGGGGATTTCCCAAAAGAAAAAAAAAAGAAAACCTTAAACTACAAGAAATTTCAATGTGGATGATAATGAACCAGATGGAAGAACAGCCGTGTGTGGTGTGTTTGAACTTATATGCTGTGGTGTGTACTAAAGAAAAATGTCAGAGACCTTAAAAGTTTCGTCAAATTGTTTATCAAATGTCTTACATAGGTATGAAACTCACATCATGGGATTCCACATCCATATGAGATATTTTGTAAAAGAAAATGATTTAGAGTTCTAATTGTTGTGCTGTAGGAGAGTTCTAAACAAGTGGGTCCCATCTATTTGTGTATGTGTTTTATTTTGTTTTTTTTTTCCAGCCACATCATTAGAGCTTTAATTAGAACTTCAAAATTAAAGTTGTGTATCATTACTATTTGTAAAAAATTTGATAAAAATTTTCAAGTCTCTAACATTACTCGTGTACTAAATTAATCAGGAGTGTGTCTGCATCTTAAGGGTAAAAATGATATATTGTGGTGTGTAAACTTTAAAATTGTTAAGGTGTCAATTAAATAACAGTGTTTCTTGAGATAATTAAGTGAAGTGAATGTGTAAATAGAAGTTCCCTTTTCCATTGAATTAATCGACTGACAGAAGACTGAATTGTTACATTATTTTCAAATGTGTGAGTGTATTGGTATTTCAAAAATTAAAGGGGGTGGCTGTGATATTTCAAGAAAAGAGAGGGGGTGTCTGTGTAATTTACCCTTAATTAATTGATTGATAATATCGGTAAAGGAATATCGGAACCTCATCATTTTAGAAATGGAGACTTTGACCAACGAAGCTCTTGAAGCTCCTCAAGATTTAAAAAACTTCTCTGTACTCAACTGTATCGATCTTTCAAGCCCTGACATTCTTAACTCTGTTTCTTTACTCAAACAGGTACTCTCTCTCTCTCTCTCTCTCTCTCTCTCTCTCTCTCTCTCTCTCTCTCTCTCATATATTTGGTTTTTTTGATTGATTGATTATATATGGATCGAAAAATTATTAATTGGTGTGTACCGTTTTTGTTAATTGGTTTTTATAACCTGGCTTATCCTTTGCTTCCTCTCTTTTCTACAGGCATGTTTGGATTCTGGGTTTCTCTATGTGATCAATCATGGAATCAGCCAAGAATTTATGGATGAGGTTTTTCACTAAAGCAAAAGTTTTTTTGATCTACCATTAAGTGAGAAAATGAAGGTTCTTAGGAACAAGAAACATCAAGGTTACACTCCCCTTTTCGATGAACATTTGGATCCTGTCAATCAAATACATGGTTTGTTCTGCTATCATTTTTCTAAAGTTACACAACTTTTTAGTAATAAGCACAAAAGTGAATATCAGATCAATATAATGCTTCTTCTAATACAAGTTGACGTCTATTGTATAGCTTGGTATGTGCATGACATGTATATGTATATATATGTATATACTGTGCTTGTATGATCATGTGTGTCTAGAAGTGGCTTGAGTGCTAGGAAAATTAGACTTTCACCTAACATCCCCACACAGTAAGAGGCCTCACTTTTATATAGTTTAATATGGTAATTATAAATTTGCAATCACACTAACTGTTAAAAAAGTAGGGATAGTTGTCTTAAATTTGCATTTGCAATTTTTGTATAAGATGATATCGATGTTCAAATTTGTTTTGGGAATTGAAAGTTTTAAATTAAGTTTCGCAAGCTGAAGGGAGCACTTCAATTGATATATTGCATAATTAAAGAAAACTAAAATTTCCAATGCATCCATGATTATAAAATTTCCCCTCTCAAATGCACATTAATGTCTACTAATTGGATATTGTTTTTTTTATCTATAACAATTGCATTGCCAAAAAATTTTTTAAAATGGATAAATTTTAACCTAAGATTGATTAAGTCATAAGAAACAATAAGTGAACTACCCGCAATAACAATTACAAATGATATGTTAGAAAACTTGAATGTAATTAGTAATTTTGCATTTGAACAGAAAAGAAAAATATATTTCAAATGAAAATCTTAAAAAGGCTTCATTTATGTTTTTTATGCCTTAGGCTTCAAACAAACTTGAGCCTATATGCATTCATATATGTGCTTGTTTACATAATTATGTTGTTGCCTTCCTACTTTGAGATGCCACCCATATTGTTTTGTTCTTTATATTGTCCCATTCTTTTCTTCTTCCAGTTGATCCTTTTTTCTTGATTTATTTTTGTTTAAATTTAAACTAATTATAACCAAGAGATCCGTGTTTCATAAAAAAGAAAAATATTGATTATCCTATTTTACGGATATAGGAAATTATAAGGAGGGATATTACATTGGAATAGAAGTACCTGAAAACGATCCTGACATAAAAAAGCTATTATATGGACCAAATGTCTGGCCCCCTTCTGGTAAGTTACCAAATCCATTCAAGTCTTAAGAAAGTGCGAAGTATGTGTAATTCATGCCATGTCCCAATCATCCCTCTCTCTCTCTCTCTCTCTCTCACACACACACACACACACATAGAGAGTAATTCAACTTGATGTGATTTAAGCATTTGAGCATTCTACATGGTATTGGTTTTGTAATCAGTATTAACCCGTTTGGTCTTTTGGCCGTTTGAAAGATATCTTGCCTGGATGGGGGGAAACTATGGAGAAATATCCTAGAGAGGCACTGTAAGTTTTGTTCAAGCTTAATCTTTTTGTAATGAACTTCATATACAACTGGCAGATGTATTTGCTGCTTTGTATCAAACATTATAACTCTTCATATAGAAAATTGAATTATCTTGTCTTGTTTTGGTGTCTAAGCAGAAATGCTGCATCATATTATTTTCTCATTGTTATCTAATATCAATACCCTATTGTCAATTTAAAAGTATTGCATTAGACTAACAAATCTTGGAAAATATCACATTATGGGAAGGATAACTTCATATAAAATATTGGAAGTTTTGTATATACTAAACAAAGGCTTAGGGATGTGAGCTAAGAGAATAGACTGAAAAACTGCAGGAGAGAACTCATACCTTTATCCCATATGGTCTTGACGGCACAGTTTGGTGGGTCCTGCGAAGCTTGGTTGACGAGTTTGCCTGTTGTAATTATACAAGCTCATCCCTTGCCATGAAAATTTTATGGTGATGGATGATAATAATATTCTAAGACCATGAAGATTCATATTTATATATATTTTCATTACGAAAACTTGGGGTGTATTGCGTTTTAATCTATATTGTCCAGACTTTTAACTTCAATTCTTACATGTTTTCCCAATCACTCTAAGTTCTTTTATATTTTGTTACATTTTCGGTGATGCAAATTAGCATAAAATATGCCTCATAACTTGAGGAATAATAACAAAGAATTAGGTTGAGTGAATTGTTTTAGCCACGAAGGTATATTTCTAAACACCATTGTTAAATTGGGACATGTATAAAACCAATCCATATGGTTGTTCTATTGGGAGTTGTTCTCCCTTCCCACTAGAAATTCATTTGTAAAAAAATAGCAATTACCTATCATTCCATTTAAGCCTTGTGACTTGTTCGGCCATGATTTCATGCTTTTAGTTTTATATATATGACATTGTTCATATGATTTTTTGATAGATTTTTGTCTCATTTTCCTCATGTATCTTTTATGTGCGTGCTAGTGAGGTGGCAAAAGCAATTTCAAGGATCATAGCTCTTGCACTTAACCTCGAGGTTGACTTTTTTGATAGACAAGAAATGCTTGGGAAGCCAATTGCAACCTTGCGTCTGCTACACTATGAAGGTGAAAATTAAATTGAGGATCATGGAATTCTAATGTAATTGATGTCACCTGTATCATGACATAAGTGTTTGGTTATTCTTCAGGTAGAGTTTCTGATCCCATGAAGGGAATATACGAAGCAGGTGCACATTCTGATTTTGGTTTGATAACACTCTTGGCAACTGATGACGTCTTTGGTCTCCAGGTACTGATATAGTTAAGAATTTGAATTGTATTTCTAATATATTTTGTAAAAAGGGGATTGTGATCTTTTCAATTATTGCAGATTTGCAAGGATAAGGATGCTAAACCTCAGAAGTGGGAATTTGTAGCACCATTAAAAGGGTTAGTAAATAGAATCTTCAGAGACTTGATTGGTTCAAAGGGCACTGCCTAGGATTAGTTTTCAGTTATCAAAAAATAAAAGGAAGAAAACTTTATATATTCTGGACAATATTAGACACCTTTATTGGAGCTAGTCTAAGTTTTCTACATGCTTTTGTGATTATGAAAGAGACCATATATCTGCTACAATTTGATGTAGAATGAATCTTTTACTATATTATCAACATTTTCTTACTGTCTTGATGATTGAAATCTAACTTTCAGAGCATTTATAGTGAATATTGGTGACATGCTAGAGCGCTGGAGCAACTGTATTTTCAGGTAATGTGTGTTTGCCAAAGTTCCTAAATGATGGTTTTGTAGCTTCATGACAATCAGTCGGATTATTATTATTATTATTTATTTTTCAGTTGTTTATTGTGAGATAATATTGAGTACGATATGGGACATTGCCTTCTTTAGAGCAAAAATTCTGGAACATTAATTTCTCATTGCCACCACCTTGAACGCCAATTTTTCTAGTATGTGGTTTGAGTGTTGGGATTATAATTTTATGGTACTTGGGTATCTGTGTGTTCACTTGCTTCATTTTATCTAGGTCCACGTTGCATCGAGTGCTGGTTAATGGTCAGGAGAGATATTCTGTAAGGTCCCTTTGGAAGCTTTTGAATGTTCTCTAATTGCATTTATGCAATTTTATCATCTAACATACACAATGGCTCTTTTTGCTTTTTGGTTTTCATTTGATTCGATTTATTTTCATTTATTTATTATTATTATTTTTTCATTGAGCAGATTGCGTACTTTGTGGAGCCTAATCATGATTGTCTTGTTGAATGCTTGCCCACCTACCAGTCACAAGAGAACCCTCCCAAGTAAGTATCAATTGAACACAGATAAACTGTTCATACCTGCATTGATCTAAGTATGAACACATGTTAACCATTGATAACTGCAACTGATCTGAGTACGTATGATCACAGATGAACTATCACCCACACAATGACGTGAGGACCATTAACGTCATCATTATGTGCAACATATGTGGACAAGTGGGAACCTCTAATTGTAATCCAAAACAATGGTTGGATCACCCTTCCTTTGGACACCCCATTCTCGAATTTAAATTTTGTTGATTTTATAGCGATCCCAGTTGTCCCTTTACTGTTTTGTTGTATTCCGGACTCGATTCCGTGGAGTTGGTAGTTGTATCTATCTTGTTGTCGTCCTTTAATTCCATTTGTTTGAGTTTTAGGATGTGTTGGGCATGTTTCGAGCAGGTGGGTTGAACCTTGGTCTAAAATCTTGTTGCCAAGTTTTTGGTCGTTCCGCTCGACCGGGCCTTATTGCGCTCGAGCGGAGATTGCACACTCCCAATATTTCATGTCCCTGCAAAACTTCTGTAGGTGTGATTTCTACGCTCGAACGGGTTTCTTTACGCTCGAGCGGTCACGCTCAAGCGGGTAGTACTTTTTGGTGTAAGTTCTGGGAGGGGAAAATCTACGCTCGAGCGGACTAGTTTTCGCGCTCGAGCGGATGTACTTTATTCTTGTGTCTTGGCGCTCGAGCGGGCCTTATTGCGCTCGAGTAGACCTAGTTTTTGTTCTTGACGCTCGAGCGTTGTGGTCTCCGCTCGAGCGGGAATGTCGTATATCAGTTGGCAGCTGGGTATTTTAAAATCACTTTTTACATTCTCTCTCTCTCTCTCTCTTACTTTCCAAAAAGATATTTCGAGAGCCTCTCTCTCTAGAAACTCCCTTCTCTCTAGGGTTTGATCTAGTTAGAGTGCTTCCCTTTCCTTCGGCCTTTGTAAAAGTTGGGTTGATCGTCGAGGGCTACGTTTTGATCTGAGAATATTGAGTTTTGGAGCACGTTGAGTTTCTTTATCTTCTTTCCTTGTGCTCCGAATTTGAGGTAGGGATTCCTACTCACTCTTATGGTCTTTGACATAGATTTTTGGTTGTTTTGATAAAGTGTTGAAGTTGGGTAATTTTGAGACTTAGGGTTTGAAAATGTTAAAAGAGGATTTTGTTATTTTGATTCTAAAATGTGTATTGTGGGTTCAAAATAATGATATCGTTGTTGGTTGTTGATATTTAGACCATTGGGTCAATATTGGGAAATCGAGTGGAAAACCCTAATTTTGGGAAAAATTGTGATTATATGGTAGGATAGAGGAATTAGATTTATTAATCGCTCACTTTTGAAAGCATTGATATTTTATCTGTTGGAGCTTTTATTATCTGTTTAGAAATAATTGCTTGGACTACCGGTGGAGGGTTGTTTTGATTGTTGCAGACAATGCATGGTGATTAGGCAAACTAAAACTAATCAATTAGATATGTCATAGAGTATAACGGTTGATAGAATACATTAATGTTATGTATTGATTGATTGATTGTGTATATGACCTTTGTGTATATATGCATTGTGTGTGGGGGAGGAGATAGGGGATGTACTCCACGGTTTAGGGGAAGATAGGGGATGGACCTCTAAACCGGATGTTGTTTGGGAGGAGATAGGGGATGGACTCCACTGATACAGCTCATATGCTTGCCAGTTAATGTGTTGATACAGCTTATATGCTTATCTATGGAAGTGCTGATACAGCTCATATGCTTATCTTTGGAAGTGTTGATATAGCTAATATGCATATCTGTTGAAATGTGGATACAGCTTGTATGCTTATCTGTTGAGATGTTGATACAACTAGTACGTTTATCTATTGTGAAATGGGAAACATTTAATATGAGTCACTGTCTCATATAAGTGGTTGGCCAGGTTCTGAGCCTTTGATATAAATTGTGAAATTGATAAGAAATGGAAACTGAAATGAAACATGAACATAGTGGTCTAGAAATGGAAATGGGTTATGAATTGATTCATGGAAATTGAACATATATCAATTGCTAATGTCTTAGTTATTGCTCATACTGTGTTTAGCATATCTCTACTGGGCGTTGGCTCACCCTATATGGGACATTATTTTCAAGTACAGATAGTATGCCACCTCCAAGGACATAGCTTGGATGATGATGAGAGTTGAAGACTCTTTTTGTTTATTTTGTTTGTATTACATGTATATCAAGCTAAGGGCTTATTTTGTATAGAGCTAGTACTCTTCTTTTATGTAACCAGGTATTGACTTGGAAAGCTATAAGCCCTTAGGGCATTTGCTTTTGTTGTTAACATGTAATACCATTGTAAGAACTACTTTGATGAATATAAATGGTTGGTTTCTTTTATATCAATGCATATCTAGTGATGGGTTTTATGTATTATTTTGAGGGCGTTACAGATTTTCTTTAAATACCCCAATTAATTCCCACCATACCCGCACCCGCACCCGCACCCGCACCCGCACCCATCCAACATATTGGCCAGCCACCCAGCGCACCAGTGCCACATCCACCACCCCTTCCTTTCCCTCCCCTTCTCTCCCCACCACCTGCTGCCTCCTCCCTGTGCTCCTCAATACCCCCTCTCCTTTCTTCTTGACACCCCCCACCTCTCCGTAACACCCCACAGCCTTCCCCTGATCTTCTTCTCAAACCCTAATCCAAACCACATGACCACCATCGCTGTCACACCCCAAACCCGGGTATAGCCGGCCGTACGTAAGCCTAAATATGAATCCATACACATTGAATAACTATAAAATAGTCCATTAATAAATAACCAAAACTCAGTTCAGTGTCATGCCACAAATATAAACGACAAAACCAACCGTAATCAATACCATCCAAACTTATGGAATATAAACAACCCATATATCAAAATAATCCTAAATGAACCTCAATAAAAATAAATATAAATATGCACAAACTTGACATAACAGTCTAAAACAAAATAAATGAATGTCCTAGAGGTCCATGCAATTGAGTCCCCGCTACACCATGAATCCACTCTAAGCCTTTTTAACACCTGAAAATGGTAAACAACTAAGTCAGCTGATAGCTCAGTGAGTAGCAACATGGATAGTATATACATTTTCGAAAACAGGGAGCAATTCCAAAATAAGACATATATCACAGAAACTAGATTGGCATACAGTTTGGTAAAGAGAATTTGTTTCAAATTGAAGGTTTCGCAGTTCATTAGTTAAAATACTCATGTCTATCAAGAATATGATAAATGACATTTTCCACTTAAAACAGATTACAACATGAACACCAATAATTTTGTGAGTACCAAGAAATAACAAGTAACATGTCACACAGTTCTCAAGGCTATAAGCCCCGTTGAATCCCATATCGAACTAAGAGTCATCCTCAGGGTGGCAACCCCGGCCTTTTCTCTAAAACGATCCGATTGAAGGTCACCTAGCCTAACCTAGGTCTTTTCCTTACAATCGTTGAGCACTAGAGTCATCACGGCCCAACCCGGATCTGTTCCCTAGTGGCCAAAGTCCGCACACACAGTGGAATAATTTCCCTGCACTAAAATATACAAATGGTCCCAATAATCAATACACATCAGTTTTGCAAAACATGATAATTCACCATTATAAACATGAGACCAAAACAAATAGTTTACAGTATGCCAAGTTCACACATGTTTCAGAAATAATTTGATTCCATTGATAATATAATAATTTATCAAAACAGTTTTAGTCCTGAAACAACAATTTAATTTTCCAACAGTTCAGGGTAGGAGAAGATTTATAAAAATATGTAGCATGCAACTACTCATCTGAAAACGAAATAATATAATCCTCGAATAGAGTATGAAAGTCCGACTAGTGCCCTGAATCAAGTATGAAAATTACACGTCACTACTAATTTAAAAATACTAAAGAATAAGAACTAAGTAAACCCAAACTAAAGCGCATTAACATGACTCAACCCAACTCACCGTTACTCTTAAATACTATCTAAGCTCATGTTCTTCAAGGTTTAAAATCACCCAAGACATGGGTTCAAATCGAAACTTAATTAAAAGTAACTTTAAAGGTAAAACAGAATTTTAAACTAGTTTTCCCAATCTATTCGCTAACTTTGAAAATTGAAAAACCCACTCCACGTTGTTCGAAAAATTCTAAAACCCTCCGAATATCAACTAATATATCCTAAGTTTCAAACCCAAATGGTTTCACTTGATTTGCTTGTCAAAATAATTATCTACAATTAATTATATCTAAATTGGTTGTTTTCTGCAGCACTTTAAAGAAATTAATGGTTCTCTTAGTATACATGAGCAATCAATGCAAGGCCAAAAATGTAAAAAACTAGACTCGTAGCTGATTCTAATGACACTGATTTAATAATTTTTGAATTTATACCCAATGAGAACAACACTCCCGAACTTATTGTTTAAAACTAGTTTTCTGGACAGATTTGAACGCATCGGTTTATATGGATTTTGACTCCCAAAAATTATGAGAAAATTCAGATATGCAATTCAATATGTAATTAATCTACTATAAAAATTTCAGTTCAAAATTCATTCGTTTGATATGGTTTCTTGATTTTTAAAGTTTGCGATTTTGTACAGAATTTTTTGGACTAAGAATTACACCATTGATTATACGTGAATTTAACTCCTCAGATTTCTTAACAATATATATATACACAAATTACATACACCTACAACCTCCCCATCAATGAATTAAATCATAAAATAGAATAAGGATAAAGAACAAATATAAAATAAAGAAGAAAGTTAGAACCCTACCACACACCCAAAAGTTTTTTGATTGCAACTTCTTTTTTTTTTCCTTCTCTCAAAGTCTCTCTTGTGGCTGTTGTGTTGTTGCCCTATGTGGTGAACAAATAATAGAGTAGGGTTTGTATTTATTTTATTTTATACTAGTGGTTGGGTAAAGCATGTGTAGGTCAAATATATAAATAAATATACAAAACATATATATAAGTTATATGCAACTCAAATGGTAAGAGTCTTACATATTAACCTTGTGGTTTAGAGTTCAAGTCACACCCTTTTCTCTAATTTTTTTTTTTAGGTTTAAAATTAATTAAAAGATCATTCAATAATAATTAATTTGCACTTTAGGATTCACCATCAAAATATTTGAGATTGTGAAATTAGTATTATTTAATTTTTTACGGTCTAGTCGACGTTGGTTTAGGGTTTTGTCTTTTTTTGTAATTTGACATAGAGGTAAAACGGTATTAAAAAAGGGGGGAAAATTCAATTTTACTCCTTGTGGTTTGAGTTTGGGGCACTTTACCTGTCCGTGATTCAAATATAGATGGTTTAATTAATAAAATTTGTGATTAATTTAAAATGAAGTGTATAATATTAGAGATAAAAGGGATTAGGTTTTTTTTTTTTCATACAAGGGTAAAATAGTCTTTTGTTGATTAATGTTAACGGATGTTAGATTGCAATTTAGTCCAAAACTATAATAGGGCAAATATGCCTATATTTAAATCACATATGCGTAACGTGATCCGGTCTCAAACTATAAGGGGATAAAGTGGAATTTGAAAAAAAAAATACTAAATTTGGGATGTCCAACAATATTTTTTGGATGCATTTAAAGGCTCCCCGGATAACTGAGCTGCTGTCTAATTAAAATTGAAAACCTTTTTGCATTAATAAAAATGCATAAACGATATGCTCGACTTTTTTGTCCTTGTGAAGTTTCTCTATTTTTTAATGCTTCTTTTCCACCAGGTTTCCTCTTATCAAATGTGAAACTTCCATGCTCCAGCAATACAAGGAAACTCGCGTTGTTCTCGAGTCATACGAAAAATGATACGCCAAACTCTGTTGTCAATATTACTGGAATTTTCGCTTCAAGTGTAGAACACAAAGGTTAGATCCTTCCTGCCGTGGTTTGTATAGAAACAGGTTCACTTAGTTGAATATTGGAGAAATATCATGTAATCTTTTTTTGGTTGCAAATGTAATGTTGATATATATGTAAAACATGTATGAGATTATGCAAAATATTTATTAAAATTTTATCTTTTTTTTTTTTTTTTTTTTTTTGGAAACCAAATTTATCCTATATAATATACAGCACAATTACCAAAAGTAGCTAGAATGTATCAAAAGTAAAAAAAACACATGCACTAGAATGAAATAGAGTCGAATAATTACTCCATCAAAATATTTATTTCTATGTTTGGTTGACTAAAAAATTTATGAAAAATAATCATTAAGCACTATTATAAGAAAATGATCATTTCATAGGTAAGTCCAAAAAATAATCATCAAGCACTACATATATATATAGGGTTTAAAAGGCCCCGTGCAAGCGACAAACTATTATTACAATATGTTTAAGTTTTGTATTTTGACAAATTTCTTCCCAAAAAAAAAAAAAAAAAAAAAAAAATTGTTTTGAGATTTTTGGTAAGTCGGTATTTGATTACCCAAAAAACAATCGAGCTCAATATGAAAAGGGTTACAACTCTAAATAGTAAAAGCCTCTAGTTTCAAGAGGCAACAATTAAAACTCAGAATTCGATAAAAAGACAGTTCTCACAACCCAAAAGTTAGGCGAAAACGAAATATGAAAAAAAAAATTCACTAGTTGAGAGCCTACGTAAATTCTCTCCATTTTTGTTTTTTAACCCTCGCTCTCAGATTTCAACTCAATTCAACAACACTAGCACATTCTATTTTTTTTTTCCCTTGCCATTTTGATGATAAAGAAAAGATCAAAATCACCTAACTTCGTTCAGCTTCAAATAATTTAAGGATATTTTTACTTGAACCATATGGGGTGTGACCACCTAATAACAATAGGGCACATATGATTATTTTTTCAAAAAATAAAAAATAAAGTGACTATATCCTATCACGTGTTTTATAGGCTATTCTTATAATTTTTATTCGGATATAACTTGTCATCATGTGAATTGGACCACATCGTTATCCCATTTGCGCTCACCATATCGTTATTGTGTGTTTTGAATCTTTCCAATGGCTATTTCTCCTATTCCAATGGCTATATTTGCTCTCCAACGGTCAAATGAAGATGAGGGACTATAAATAGAAGATCTACATTCATCTATAAGTGAGAGAGAGGATAATCTCCAAAAGAGGAGAAAATACAATAATTTCATACTGTAACTTTCATATCATCTCTATGAACTTTAATTGTTTAAATCCAACTCTTTAGGAGTTTATTGTACAAAATGCTTTAAGCATTTTTTTCTGCAAATCATCTGTGAAGGGTTGTTATACCCATGAGCTTCATTGTGAGTGTTTGAGAGAGAGACACCTGAGAGATTTGGTAACACTAAAAGAGGGGCTGTTTTGGTGGGTTTGCTTTTTGGGATTTTTGGAACAAAATTTTTGTTGCAAAAGTCTTGCAAGTACCTGGTAAATTTGCTAGTGTAAATCTATTAGATAAATAGTGGAAATACTCGAGGGAGAGCTTTGAGGAATGGACGTAGGTTTGGGTTGAAACCGAACCACTATAAATCTTGTGTCTGCCTCTTCTCTCTCTCTCTCTCCCTCCTTTATATTTATACTTTTGGCTCTGTTTTGCTTTGACTTGATTTGCTCACACACATTATTGCTCATGTTTTATATATTCATTCTTTTATTTTACTTGAGTTGAGCAAGTTAATTTTATTGAATTATTTCATTTTAAGTTATATTTATCAACTCAATTTCCCCCATCGTGTTGTCTACATGGTGTAACACTATAAATAAAAAGTTCAACCTTGCTCAGTTTGTTACATATATAAGCAAGTTCAAATTAAATTCTTAGACTTGTTTAATAAACTCAGTAAGAGCTCAACTCTACTAAGTTTGTTACATACATAAACAATGTCAAACCAATCTTTTGAGCTCTCTTTTGAGCTCGTTTAATAAGTGAGTCGCTCAAGGTTCCCATCAATTTTTTTTCTTCATTATTGAGTTTCAAACCAAACTTGAGCATAATTAGTATTTTTCTTCATTATTAAGTTTCAAACTGAACTCGTTCATTATTGAGTTTATCAAACTCGAGCATAATCAGTATTTTTCTTCATTATTAAATTTCAAACCAAACTTGAATATAATTAGTATTAAGAAAATGAGCTGAGCTCACGCAATAATTAGCATAAATATTCAAGCTCAACTTAAACTTTTCTTTTTTGAGCATGATAAACAAACGAGCTCAGCTCGGCTGATTTGCCACACTGGCCACTAAGAACCAACAACTAAGAGAAATAGATCAATGGGGAAGATAGAATTTAGCTTTGGGCCAAAGAACACTTGGATTGATTTATTAAAAAACACTGTATTCTATTACAATTACATAGCAGTTAGGCTGAAAATCTTTTGTCTAGCTCTGTCGCTCTCTCATATCCTTCTATTTTGAACTCTCTTTATCATGTATTTTGTTTATGTCGGCTTGTGAAAGCCCTTTGTAAGATGTAATATGTATTTTTGTACTTGGCTTTAATTGTGTTCAAGTTGTAAAGCTCTGTAAAGATGTATGCCATTCCATTTGACTTATGCACTGCTCTTATGGACCACTTGTATTTCAGATTATTGCTTCCGCACTTGTGAGCCCCCTATATCTATACTCTGATTATGTGTGAATTTTGAAAGTTGGCCTTCGGTAATTACGGATTACTGGCCATCACGGCACCAAACTACTAGGGGCGGTTTGGGGTCGTGACATTCCAAATCCTTAATTGAGGCAAGTGGTTGATTCTACAAGTATCATCGCATCGGATGCTTCACAGGTCAGTCTGAATTTCTTCATATTTCCATAGCTTTTGTGACTTCACAGAGAGTACTAAACTGGTAGTGAGTAGCGAGTAGAGACTGAAGTTGATAATGTTTCAACTAAAACCAACCTTTCATCCAACCCGACTCTTACTGTCATGGTTCTAATATAAACTCTAAAGCTTACAACACCACAAAAGTTTCGAAACACCATGATTGGAATGTAGAGGGAAAAGGAGAGACACCAAACAAGAATATATAACAGACTCTGAAGAAACACACTACATTAACTACTAGCCATAGTTTCTGCTCACAATTCAACAATTCATTGGAAGCTTCTGTAATTGGCAGTATACATGCAGCTTTCAGTGTACTTCACTAGATTATCACGCCGAGGGAGATGCGTTGCTAACCCTATGAAACATTGTGAAAGTCATAAAAATAAACATGCTTCAAGGGGCAATTACAGCGGTGGTAAGACACATGAAGCAACCAAAGGTACACTTACTAGCTCACCAAGTTCATATGCTTTAGCAGCCACATTAGCAGCAATGTGGCCAGAGATCTTTCTGATATTAGAGAATGGTGGATAGATCAAACCCTTGTCTAAATTCTCTTTTGTTACTTGCTCAGCCAAAGCCTCTGTTGTCTGCTGTTACAAAGGAAAGTAGATGATTTAGATACAAGGGTGAACCATTCTATTTATTTGTCGTGTCTGTCGCCTAGAATTGCAATTTAATAGGTTTCGCCAAACGTTTTCTATAGTGCTTCACACATGATTATGGGCAACCCAGTGTAAAAGACTTCTGTTAAAAGGATATCTAGAGAGGGCAAGATGTACAGATACTGTTTCAATGACTTGAACCTGCGCCACCAGGGACGCTAATGGCAAATCGCCCTTATAGAACCAGATCACACATCAAGGGAATAAAACAAACACAATGTGTTTTTTGAGTTTACATTCTATTGGAATCTGAGTAAACATCTTAGAACTTTTTCTAAAGAGAGTCTATTCATTATTTATGACTTGCATAGATATGTGACCAGAGGAAAGGGAAAAAATAATAATGCATAAGTAAAATGAAAAAAAATAAAGGAATGAATTCATTGCTTTTCAATTAGCAAGTAAATTGTATTAGTTTGCATAGAAAGGAAAGTAGATGACTTAGATACAAAGGTGAAACATTCTATCTATTTGTCGTGCCCATTTTCATAGAAGTAACTTCAATTCAATAGGTTTTGTCAAAAGTTTTCCATCGTGTTTTGCACATGATTATGGGCAGCCTAGTGTATGAAGCTTCTGCGAAAATGGGATCTAGAGAGGATAAAATATACATAGTTTTTCTTTCATTTTTGAAGAGACTGTCTATGACTCAAACCCGTGCTACTAGGGATGCTAATGGCAAGCCTTACCGTTGAGCCAAATCACCCTTACAAAACCAGAGCACACATCAAGGGAATAAAACAATCACAAGGTCTCATTTAGTTTACATTCTATTGGAATCTGAGTAAACATCTCATAACTTTTTCTAAGAGTTTATTCATTATTTATGCCCTATGTAGATATGTGACTAGAGGAAATGGGAAAAAAAAAATTAAAGCAAAGTAAAATGAAATAAAATAAAGGAAAGAATTCCTTTCTCTTCAATAAGCAAGTAAATTGTATTCAACTTATAATATATCTAATTATGTTATATGTAGTGTACTTACAGGCTGCCAAAAGCATTTCATCATTTACACGAATTGCACCAGAGATGACCAAACCCAAACTAAATCCAGGGAAAATATATGCATTATTTGCCTGAATGGATCACAAAAGAAAAAAAAAAAGAAGAAAAAAGAAAAAGCCATCAAAATCAGTTTTTTGTATCCATCTCAGATGTATTAAGGATATAACACCAAAAAACTATAAGTACAAAGTAATGGAACCTGGCCAGGTATAAAGACTTTGCCGTTGTATTCATAGGGTCAAATGGACTTCCACTGGCAAAAATTACTTGTCCCTTTTTTTAGAACAAAGAAATTTATTAGTTTTCTATTTAAATCTAATCAGACATTACTTTGCATTAAAGCATCAAATTATAGGACAAGAAAAAATACATAATTTATATTTACCTGACTCCAGGTGTAAGCTTCTTCAACTGTGCTCTCAGATTGCGAGGTTGGGTTGGAGAGAGCCATAATGAGAGGTTTCTGCATGCCATTCATTTAAAGTCTTGAGAAGAAATTTTGTATAGAGAGAAAGAGAGAGAGTACCTCATTGAAGGAGGCCATGGCCTCGATCACCTCTTTTGTGAATGTTCT